TTATAACAGCCTGTAAAACTCAAATCCAATAATTATTGACGTTTTTTTTATTGTTGATAACGATTACAGGCTGCTATAAACAAATTAGATCCGCGAGAGTACATATAGAGTCATCAGTGACCTCATCTAGTCGATATCAAACATATTTTGCCGGAAAAACTCAAATTCAACAATTATTGACGTTTCTTTTTTTTTATAACCATTACAGGCTGTTATAAGCAAAGTATAGTGGCGAAAGTAGATAAAAAATTAATTATTTACCGAAAAATTTTTTTTTTCAACTGATATTTAATTTGTTTTTACAAATATTCTTTTGCAGTTGAATACGCGAGATCTATTCCAGTATTTAACCAATACTTAGCCGGTTTTCAATTAATATTCAACCGTTATATACTTCGGGATATATAAAATATCTTTTAGTTATTTAACTAGTTTTCAAGTTATATTTAACTTGTTTTATTCAGTTAAATACCTAATATTCAACCGGGATTCAACCAAGATTTAACCGTCAATATTCAGTTAAATACGCGAGTTATTTCACTGCTTTTTAACTGTTTTTAATCGAGAAAACACGGTTGAATTTCGGTTCGATTATTTAACTTTTTTATAACCATTTTTTTACCGTAGAATTGCAATTCCTAGAAACCGCGAGGGAGCTGTCATCAATTATTAATTCAATAAGCAATTTACTTCTAACAGTGATCAATAAGGGTTTCATCGTTTTGTTTACAATTAATTTAGCATTCTTATTTCAGTCTGTGATATGAAGAGTCCATAAGATCATTCTTTTACGGTTTATTCGTAAAAAAGACAATATTTTTATAAACAAACGTGATATGTCAAGAACGGTGAGAGACAAAACGAAAATAACAATACTACTTTAAGAGTATATCTACAAGGTAGTTGTACTTTTCACCTATTAGGATGAGAAAACTCAAAAGGAGAGTAATGCTTGTGAGAATAATCAAAATGCAATCGTTCCAGCATTCAAAAAAGGACATAATTGAAATCATCGGCGTACAACCGAAAGACGCCGAAAATAAGTAGGAGTTGTCATCTCAAATTACTTTAAGGTGGAAAGTATAGTTAAAAACAAAGATGGTTAAAGAGGAAAAGGATAAACTCCTAAAGAAATATTCTCGGGCATTAGGGTCAGTTATAGAACCTCTAATGTTGAAACAGAGTCTAGATCTTAATGAAGTGTTCGAAAGATTATGGCAGGCATCCCAGCTCATAGCTAAATAGCATCGTGGTCATACATACGCTCGTAGAGCATGTATTACATCGGGTTTAGATGAAACATACTCTGATTTGTTGGAGAAAAGCTGCGGTTGATACTTTCTTGTTTCGAGAAAAATTGGGAGACAAAATTAAAGAACTTAAAATTGTTAATAAACTGGGTTAGGAGATGAAAATACAACCGCCGGTTAAAAAACCTAGTATTATATCGAACCAGGTATACTACAAGGGCCCGGTTGTATCGAAAACATCAATACAGCCGGGCAACAAACCCAAGTATTTAGAGAAAACGTCTTACCAGTGATCCAACACAATCTCAGAATTAGTATCAATCACGAAGTCGTCGGGGCAGGAACTAGAGATGGTAGAAGAGGAAGAAGTAAATCAGAGTGCAGGAAGGCTAAGACAGTTTGTGAAACGATGGAGCACAATAACTTTAGATGATTACATTTTAAAATGTATACAAGGGTACAAAATACCATTCACATCAATAGTATATCAGAAGGCTCCGCCATCTATGTACAATTGGTCATTACATGAATCATTAGCTATACGAAAAAAACTTGATTGGATCTTAGAGTTGGGAGCAATCGAAGCTTGTGAACCGACAGAAGATCAATTCATTTCTAGTTTTTTTCTGGTACCACAAATGGATGGCAAGAGTAGATTTATTTTTAATCTAGGCGAGGTTTAGGCTAGAATTGCCTTTAAAGAAATGAGAACTCCTCATTATACTAGTTGAAGGGTTCAGGAAACGAAGAAGGTATAAAACCAGAGATTTTGCACAGTTAATTGGGTCTCCGGTCGCAGCATGTCCAGTTGTTGAGTATGGGGCACTTGATTACAAGACATTAGAAATGGTAAAAACTAGAGTATTGTTAAAGAATAGCAATAATTTTGTCGGAAGAATGCAGCTTCCTGCAGATATTTTGGATAATTTAAGATGGTGGTGGCGTCAGTTGCCTGTAACGTGGTTCTGTGAAGGTGAAGCAGCGTATGGTTTTCGAAAAAAAGATGAAAAGCTGTTACATATAAATGCCTTAGAACTGGAGGCAGCGTTTATAGTATTAAAATACTTTGCTACGAAGTTATATGATTGCCAAATCCTCTTGAGGGTAGATAACTCTACTGCAAAAGCGTATATTAATAAAATGGGAAAAACGCAGTCTCTCCAGCTACATGAGTTAGCCCGAGAAATATAGAATTGCCGTGAGCAAAGACGAATTTGGGTTCATGCAGCTTACATTGCATCCAGGAAATATTAATGCTCTGCAGTGGTCTGGATGTGACCCGAAAGGTCCACAACCAACAATATAACAGATTTATTTGTTATAAACAAAAAGAGTGAGTTTCTATATGTTATAGGGTTGGTAGCTTTCTTTTAGTAAAAGAAAAAATTTCGCGTCGGAAGAATTCAAATATATCGCATAGATCTATGTTTCATTATTTATAACAAAAATTTAATTGTTATGAACAAAGAAGCATGTTTTCATTTATGTCATACAGTTAGTAACTTTTTTTCAGTAAAATAAATAATCACACGTTAAAAGAACACAAATATGTTGCATAGATCTTGTCTTTCATTCTTTATAACAAATGGAATTGTTCATTTATGTCATACAGTTGGTAACATTTTTTTAGTAAAAGAAAAAATTATGCGTTAAAAGTACTCATATATATATAGCATGGATCCCTATTTTTATTGTTTATAACGATTTAAAACTTTTTATTTAAATATTACCATGATCAATAATTATTTGTTAGTAACAATGTTCAATTGTTATGGACACAATTCCATTTTTTTAACGATTATTATTGACTATTATGACGTCTTTAATGCTATTTCCTCAATCCTGACACGAGTTTAAAATTCTTCCATTGCTGATTTTGTTTTTTAAAATTTTTTTTTTCGATGAAATATTGTCAGTATATTTTTATACAAGTATTCTAATCATTTTATATTCATATTTATTAAAAGATTTTGAAATTTTGTCTAAAAAATGGTATTTTTTTATTTATAATTTATAAATTGCAAAATTCAGGTGGTTTTCCATTTTTGCCAGTTTTTTGGTTCTGCAAAAAAAAATAATAACTGGACCGATTTCGTTGAAAATCTAATCAGTAATAAGTTACATAATTACGCGTCGAATGCAAAATCGGGGATTCGCAAAATCGGACTCATCACTATAACTTCCCACTGGAAAGTTAAAAGCGGACAATTGCTTCATAAATAAACTTTTATTTTACTCAATTTTTGCGCAACGAAATTAAAAAATTTTGTGTATTATGAATGAAAAAGTTATGATATTTCATAGTACTCTTAATCGAAAGTCAACAATTGCTTTCCGCGCAAATTCTCAATTTCAGCCCATCTTTATGTTATAATAAGAAAGACATTATTATTTTAAAAATTACAACCTGTAAAAATAATCTTATAACTTGTATAGAGACACGATAGCGTTTCGTCGTGACGTAAGGGCAAGACGGCAGCGATTTATGCTTGGCGCACGAGACTCTATCGTATCTCTTGATCTTTGAAAATCTAGTGTAGTTTCAATAACCAATATTTAAATATATTAGAAATATAACGCGTGCTCTCTGAGCGTGCTGTGTCAAGTCAACAATGTAAAAAATTATTTAATTAACTTTCCATTAGGAAGTTTCTCCACGTTTCATAGTATTTGTAAGCATACTGACCAATTTGTAGAATGATGTGTGTGTGTGTACGTACGCACGTATGTATGTATATACGGATGTCAGCATTTTTATCATTTTTGATTTCTCAAGAACGGATCGAGATATCGACTTCAACCAAAATTAATTCGAAATATATTATCATAAAGAAGATCTGAGTGAAATTTGAACAAATTCGGTCGAGCCGGTTTTCTTTTTATAGAAAAATAACTCATAAAAAAATGAAAAAATTAGCTATTTAAAATACTTTTAAGTCAAACAATAACATTTCCATTTAAAAATTGAATCGATACTGACTGGACATTACTGTTCACAACTAAATATAACTTTTATTAAACATGCATTGTTTATAACAATACGAATTTGTTGTAAACAATTGAAAATTGTGTTCATCGATTACCTAATGCGTATATCCCATGGATTTGGATGCTTTCAAAAAAATAATTTTATTAATGATGGGTTGTGACTCTTAATAATCACGCATTGTTTATCACAATATGAATTTGTTATAAACAGTTAAAAATTGTATTTATTGAATAAGTAATGTGTATATCACATGTATTTGGATGTTTTCAATAAACATTGATTATAACTATTTAAATTTGTTATAAACAATTACTAATGGGAATTTCGTCGTGTTAGCACAGACAAAGTGTGCTCAGACCTATTTTCTTAATTTTTATTCATTCCGAAAATTTAAAAATAAAATTGATCAATCAACGCACGAATAAAATGGTTACGCTTTTCTGATTAGTCGATTTAATTTTGTATTCTTTAGTTATTGTTATTCGTATTTCTTATGGTAATTTAAAACATTTTATTTGTAATTATCATTATTGAATTGTAATCTCTATGATTTTATAAAAAAAAAATATTATAAATATTTAATTATATTCACACGAACGGTTTTTGTAATTGTATCTCTTTGTCTGACAGTAAGTCATGAGTTTTAATAGATAGGAGGATCAAACACTGAAATATTACTTTCGTTGATTAATTATTAGATTATCATTTTCACGTTTGACAATCATTTAACTAAGTTTAATGTTTTTAATTTTATTTTGCAGATTGCCGGCTCCTGGCGGTTAGTTTTTGGAGTAGCATCACTTGTCCTTCTCATAACTGCTGCAGTATTTCTGGCATTAGGAAAAGGTGTTCCTCAGCCTTGGATACCTTCAGTTGCTCGACCTCGGAGTCATGATGTAATTTATGAACAAAATGATCTTGAGCTTGATTATGAAGATGCTGCGGTACAGACTGAACCATTAAATTCTTTTTCAACTGTAAGCTTTGAAGAAACGGAAAATGCTACCAAAGTGCAAAAAAATGCATCTATTTATCCTGAACGTTCTACAGTGGCTTCTGTTTATACTCATTGATTAAATAACTATAATTTTTACAAATAAGAGTTAAATATTAATAAAAGCAGTTGAAAACAAGTAACAATAGTATATTGCACTCCTGATTTTCTTACATAATGAATGAAATTTTTACAATGTTTCTATAAGTAATATGTGAGAATAAAAGCCAGAAGTAATACAAACGAATCTTCTGTCAAGAGCTCAAACAATACTATGTAGTTACGTCCACATTTGTATTTATCTCTTTGATCTAATTTTTAATGTGAATAGACTATTGTTAGTATGAGAACTAAAGAATGAATGTGAAATAAGAAATTGCCATCATAATATACTACTGTTTTGTGTGTAATATCGAAAGTTAATTTTATAAAATCAAATGAACACTTTCAATATGTATTAGTGTTACAGACATTCATAAACTATGATTGTTTCTAGCAGAATGTATAAAGTGTAATAATTTTACCCTATGAAATCTGTAGTGGTGCAATAAATATGGTATTTTTTTTGAACACATCTGTTTAGGAAAAAAATAGATTGGTAATACAATAAATGATTTACAGTCATATTGAAAGTACATAGATTCATTTAATTTCACTTATAAATATCAATTATGATGTTTAAAAACTAATTATAAAAATAAGTTCACAATTTTACTGTCTGAAGAAGTTCATGAAAGAGAAAACAAATTTTCAATACTGAATTGTAATATTACATGTAAGGTGTTAAATTTATTATTTTTCCTTTTCTTGGAGTATGTACTTTTCATTTAACACTAGAATCACTTATGTACTACTGTTATCATTATCGTGTACATCTGATTCATCATTCGAAATAATTTGAACACTACGAATAGGTCCAGTTTTGCGATAAACTGGTACTGCTGTCACTTTCGATAGTAGTGTACTTAACATATTTGTATCACGATTATTTAAAATAGGTATTTTATATAATATTTGTCGTTGTTGTTGTTTACTGTCCATAGCTATTTGAAGTAATTTCAATAGGAGAGCCTCTCGGATAGGCGGTGGAAGAATTGAATCGTAATCGGTATTTATTGTTTCAAACTTATCAATGAAATTACTGTTATCGTAGTATTTACTTTTACTTATTTTTTGAAAAGGTGAATTCAATAAGTTAGTCATTTTTGATATATTAGATTCTGATGCAGCTATTTTTTGATTATATTTTCTCGGTATGATAACTGGCATGTTTCCAGTAGAATGTTGATCATGCACTGATGAATAATGTGGAGCCAGATTATGATAAAAGTTTGCATTATTTTTATTTAATGCATCATTCAAAACTATTGTTGGATGGTCATAAGCATAAACTTCATGTTGATTTGCTAATAATCTTCTTAAAATAAATTGAAAATCTCGTCGACTAAGTGGTAAAGTAATCGGGGTTTGATGTTCTGAAGGAAATACGATATTCTTATAAAAGTAATTTTCAAAATAATCATTGCCACGCATAGATTGCTGCTGTAGATACTGATTTTGCTGTTGTTGCAAATGCTGATAAAGTTGTTGGATAAGTTGTAAATTTATTGAAGATGATACGTCCGATTCTGAACGTGGTGTTGTGAATTCATTTACTCGTTGTTCAATTACGTAGTTAGTATTTGTTGTAGCAGGGACACCAGGGATCGATGCAATTGGTAATTCAACAGAATGACTCGTTAAAAAGTCTATATTTTCTTTGTTTTCTAAAGGTTGATGATTGACATGTTTCATTGGTATTCGAGTTTTTAACGGAATTCGCCTACTTATTAGAACTTCACTATTACTTTCTTGTGATTCAATTGCTGTTGAACTTGGAATATTTGTTAAAATTATACCTAGAGGTAAACGTTTATAATTTTTTTCAGCATATTGATGACGGCTAAAAACTGGTTGTGTTGGATGTTTAGCTATGTAGTCTGCAACTTCATCTTTTTCGTTAGACAAAGAGTCATAATAATTATGATTCGATATAATTTCCGGTGATTCATCAGATAACTTTTCTGTTTCAACATTGTAAAATTTAGCTGGACCTAAATTTTTCTCATTCAACGGTAATACATCAAGTTTCGGTACTTGATGAAATCGGTATGTTTCTGGTCTATTTCGTTGAATAACTTTTGATCTGCCAGTGCTAGGTGATATAGCCGTTGTAGTAGTAAAAAGCGGTCTCGTAGTAGAAAGTAATCGTCCATTGTAAACATCAAAATTTTCATTACTAGAATTTTCCTCAGTAGATTCTTGAACTTTAATTGCTGGCTTTTGATCTATTTGACGTCTAAAATTATTATTATCTATGTTAACCTCAGATCTACGGTTGTAATCTTCAACCTTATTAATTGGATGTAATATATCTTCGAGTGAAATTCTAGCATAGAGATTATCTTTTTCTGTATCTGCTTTTACATCACTATTTGAATCAGATATTTGTGACCTTTGTAGATCATTTTTATGATGGTTTATGACTTTTATTTCTTCACTTGGAGTTGACAACTGTTTAGGTTGATGATCATTGACAGATTGGCGTGATCGATTACTGAAATTTCTAAAGTATTGACCGAAAATAGCTCTGGTGAATTTTTCCGTGTTTCTAACTGTTGAATTAAGTATTGGCGTTGTTTTGATTAAAGATTTTCTAGTAGGAATAGACTGTATTACATTTGATTTTGTGCTTGATGGTGATGGTGTTGTGGTTGATGTCGTTAGCAACGATGATGATAGTGATGACGATGACTCAGATGTTGAAAAATACATTGAATTTTGTTTCTTTTGACTTGCAACAAAACTATGATTACTCTTTAGTGGAATACTCTGGATAACAGAAGTTCGTTCCTGTAACGGTGATAGAGTTGTAGCTTTAAATCCAGTACCATTTGATGATGAATATGTTACTCGTTTTATTTCACCATTTGCATCGATAAAACCAAATGTACCTTTTACATTGCCAAGTACATCTCGAGTTTCAACCTAATAGATATTTTTAACTTTGAGAATATTTTTTAAATACTCAAAATTGAAAATGAATTATGAAAAATTCAATACAGAGCTTTTATTTCAATCGTTACGTCCTGAAATGTGTATAAATTTGGGATTTTCATATTGTCAATTAGTTTTGAATTATTTAAATTTATACACCAACTTTTTTACAGTGATAAATTGATCGACTTAGAAATAGGAATAAAAATTATTGACGAATCTTAATGTATGATAATTTTAAATAATAATTGTGATTACTCATAATTAGTTGTGTATATTGATCAAAAACAATTTTTTATTTATATTTTATTTCAAATTAACTTTAAATAAATTGTCATTATATGTCTAAAGCCTATGCTGATTAAATTATTATAGCATTCAAAAAATTTTCAAAAATCACTTGTGCTTTATCACTTTTTTCATCATTTTTATTATTTTATTTGAAAAGATCAAAATGTATATTGAAATTCAGATAAGTTCATATAAAATATATGTCAAGGTGGAAACTTATTGAACGCAAATTTCTGTAAAAAGTAATTTATACTTAAAAAAAATACTAAAATAAAAAACATAATAGAATAGGACCGATAAAATAATTCCTTTACTGTTAAAGTTATATATTTAAAAAATATCAATTCCAATAAATTCCATAAACCATTCACATCGTTGAATAATCGTTTAAAAAATAGAATGGATTTTTTAAATATTTGTTATTTCTCAAAAAAACTCCAACTATATAACGAATTATGGTAAACATTTTTATCATTTCTGTAACAACAAGACATTGGTCGAAACAATTGATAGATCATCGCGAAACATTACACACGTTCTCTTTCTTTCTTGAGCTCCATGGGTACACATAAATAGAATGCAATTAAATCATTGAGAAATCTTGGATTTCATTCGTGGTCGAAATATTATGTATGATTCCAAAAAGATCAGTTGTTTCAACAATTATCTTTGTTTTCGCAGAATCTTCAATTAAAACAGAGATATGTAAAAGAAGTTTTTTAAAAAATATATCCTCCAACTCACTGTGAAAAGCTATTAGATAAGATTGTTAGTCAAGTGATGAGAGGAGTATCGAAAATTTTATATTAGTACGGAAGAAAATAATTATGAGTACGTTTATTAAAATCATAAAGTTTTATAAAACAGATATCATAAATCGGTAGAAAATTTGTTTACACTTCTAATAATAAAATGTAACGTATTTCAGAAGCTTGATAAAAATCACACACCTGCGGAAATTGTCGAAATACATTTATCAAATTTTAATGTAGATATATGATATCATCATTTCTTTCTGTAATAATATAAATTACTTTTCGTAAGTACCAAATAAAAATAAATAAACAAGTGAACATGAAAAATTAAATAATAATCGTTTGTACTTTAACAAATGGATTACTTATAGAATCATTTTGATATTTCTTTATCATACACAGAGAAAATTTTTTCTTAATAAAAGAATTACATAGGATAACTCAAAAATTACTTACAACCCAACATTCACTGATGAACAGAAATATTTTTACTTCTGAATTTCAAAACGTATTCTTGTCATTTTTGCACTTACATTTAGCGAAAAAATTCTTCCCACGTACATATTTTTCTGAAAGACTATGGTACGTGAATAATTCAAAAATTTAATTTTTTCAATTATATTGTTGGTTGTGAAAGTTGATATTCTTTACCTATTTATGTAAATAAGTTAATCATATGGACTTAGAAATTGCGTATATAATATTGCTAATTCTTGTGTAATTATTTTATTAATATTAGAATTAACAATGTTGATCATTGCTTTTTTGAAGTATATTTCAGGACGTAACGTTAACATACTTTTCCATATATGCTATACAAATAAATTATTTAAATATATTACCTTGAAAGATCCATCACCAGCTTCATAACCAAACGTATATGATCCATCATCGTTCAATTTTCTTATTTGTTTAAGGATTGCAACTTGATCATGATGGCTTGATTCGGATGTTTGTTGATCCGTTATATTCAAAGAACCAGCTGTCACTAGACCAAATATTATCACTAGCCAAGGTATCATCTTAAATCAAAACAAAGATAAACTATTCTGTTATCATCATGTATTATGTGATAAGTAGAAAATATTCTACTATAAATACCTCACAACTAAAAGTGATCATATTGTTTGTGCGACGAGTTTTACATTAAGTACGAGCACATCAGTCTCTTCTGTTATATATAGTGTAGTGACACAATAAGAAACTTCCCTGACACTTCCCCTTCTCTTTGATATTTATCTATGTTGTATGTGAGGTCTTTAAATGAAAACTTGACTAGTTTCAACATATGAGAATTAAGAAGAATAAAGTATTCGTTCCATACATTTTTATGTTCGAGAATCTGTAGAATATATATTAATTGATTAGTGTGAAATTATTTTCGCCTTTCGGTTCGTCAAAGGTGTCTGGCCAGGGCTCCCAGGGCTCCGACCCTCCTGGGGCCTAACCAGACGGGATGATAATGATGATGATGATGATGATGATGATGATGATGATGATGATGATGATGATGATGATGATGATTATTTTATTATTATTATTTTATTATTATTATTATTATTATTATTATTATTATTATTATTATTATTATTATTATTATGTTTGAAAATTTTTCAAAATACTGTTTACTGATGTTTTTTCTACAAGTATTGAATATTCTGTGAGTATTTTTTACGTATTAATAGTTCGAAGACAAAAAAAAATTTGCATCTACCGGAAGATAAATGCTTTATAGAAATCATTTCCAGAGACTATTTAGTGAAAGTCATGTGGGAGCCGCATGAAACAGTTGTATACCACAGTATCGGAGATATCCATTGACAATAGTTCTCAGGATATAATACAATGCTTTCAATTAATTCGCAAATTACTGCACCTGCAAATAAATTCATTTTTTTATCAATACCGTTTCTATTTCTAATCATGATTTTACTCAAATGTAACTAAAATTAAGTGAAGGCTTCATATCATATTAAAACTAAATTCCAACAAATGTATTAAAAGAATAGAAACTCGACCACTCTGGTTATTAATCATATAAAAAAGTTTACCGTTATGAATTGAATTCTTTTCATTTTTTCTTAATTTATAAAATTAAAAAAAAATATCAAGTTTCTTTCCTTATATGAATATTAGAATGTTACTGAATTGGAGAAAGAAATGGAACACAATTTTGTTTTATTATTTATTGCTTCATACACACTAAAAATGCAAATTCAAAAACTTTGATACAGTTAAAAATGATTATTAAAATTATTTTATATCTCTCAAATAATCTGTATTAACCGCAATAAAGTACGTGTAGATAAGCATAATTTAATAATGGAATGTATCTTTGTACTTTATTGTCATCAATTTGTATCTTGGTTTTAACTTTCTTTTCAATCATCATTCTTTTATTTTTTTTATACTCAGACAATTGAAAAAGGATTCTTCTTTCGTCTTGATGATGTATAATCGTAAAGAAATATATTTTATTTAGGTATAAAAAATAAAAAGTGTACATTTTATTTTGAAAATATTTTTCTGTGACAAATTATTTAAGAATATTAAGATATTTACAACAGATATTAAGAAACTGATAGGCTCAAATGCTATATTAACAAACTGTCGTCATTTTCATCATCAAAATTCATAAACATATCTTTTCAAGTAAAAAATATAATTTTAATTACGATATAATTTTCAGTAGGAATAATCTTTTTTTTGTTCATAGCTAACCCGAGTAGAATTTATTTTACACATGCCTAAATACTTATCAGCCCCTTATTGGGATTTAAATGAGTTAGCGTAAATTAGGCTCTCCCAGCCTATGTCTGATCAATTTATTTTTAGGATGCAATAAAGTTTGCTCAATTTCGCACTACCTAATAACTTCTCAATAACAATCTTAGAAACTTAACTGAAACGATATCTTAGTTCGTCATTAATTAGAAATGTTTATCAGGTCCGCATTAGGCTAACAAAAATTACATCTCAATTAGGCACTTATTACAATATAAAACATTTACATTAAATTAATTATATTCTTTAAATTTAATAAAGTATTTTAATAACATACATAATTTCAGATACTCTTTTTCTTTAAATAATGGTTAATTGTTTTTATTAAACTTCAACTAAATTATATAGACTGGAAATATATTGTAGTTTCAGAAAAAAATAAAATTTAAAGGTATGGAAATATTTTAGTGCTCGCAGGTTCAAATCCCCTGAGGAACAAATTTTAACATGTGTATTTTTGTGGGAATTTAATTTAAATACGTTAAATAATTTAGTATTTCAACAATATAAAATGAAAAAAAATTATTTCTATTGTGGTATCCCACTGGGCGCCTAACTCTTTTTCAAAAATGATTTCTACTCGGGAAGTTTTTTATACATTAATGTTGTTACTTTGATTAATATAAATACTATCAATGGATGTGAACTATATGATTTTTAGTGTAAACAACTTGCTTGCAAAAAATTTACAGTATGAATCTATTACATTTTGCAATTATGCAAGTGATACATAAATTATTATTGTAAATTCAGTAAAGGTTATGAATGAAATTTGACGGTTTAAATATTGATTTATTGATTAACGTGCGTATTAAATTATCGTTTCAATTTTTAAAATTATATTTATTGATAGATGTTTTGTTTAGAATAGTCATATGCACCTCGATCCTTTGAAGTTTAAAACTTATCAGTCAATGCCTATTTATTGTTAATTATCATTCATTGTTATTTCATATTTATTTATAAAAATTTAATAATCACTATTAAAATGTAGATGTTCTACCACGTAAAAATTGATCAATTTGCTCAAGTGAAATACTAGATGTAGGACTTGGTACAGATGTCGGTGTTACAGCATAATAGTATGTTTGAGGATCTTTTTGAGCAGCAAGATATTGATATTTTGGAATTGCTGCAGATTGTAACTTATGTTGTTGATGGCGTTGTTGCTGTGCAAATAATTGTTGTGATTGAAGAAGTTGTTCCGTTTGTTGTTGTTGATAAATTTTCTCTTGTGGTTGCGATTGACGAGATGCTGCCGATGTACGTCCTGTTAATGAAGCTTGTACTTGATGTAGTTCAATTTGAGACGATGGCTGGTTTAAGATCTGTTGAGCTACTAATGGTTGAAGTTGATGCTGAGGTAAAGTTTGATATAATTGAGTTTTATAGTGTCCACTGGAAGGATTGTAAACTAATTGAGATTGATATACAGGTTTAGAAGATTTAACATTCAGTGATTTTGGAGAAGTGCTGGATAATACATTTTTTATCACTGAATCTGTATTCACATAATCTTCGAGTTCAGGTGCGAAATTAAACTTGACATTCTCGTTAAGAGTAGAAGATAGCACAGAACTAGCTAAAGCATGTGGCTTGGAATACATTACTTTTGGTCTTTCATTGTTATTGCTACTGGGATTTCTATAGTTACCATTATTACTTGCTGGAGATAGATATTCAGTTGCAACTTGGATAGAATGTGGTCGAGGAGTGATAGCAATTGTAGCAGCAGTCGATTCTAGTTGTGGTGAACGACTTGATGCAGATTCTAATTTTGCATATGAAGGAGTTGTATACTGTTGAAGATACTGAATTGAACTAGGGCTACCATGAGTATTATATTTTGATGATGAAGTAGTTGATCGATGTAATGTTGTAGGTACAGTGATTTGAGTAGAAGATGCTACTTTTGGATGAGGAGTTGTGGAATATGAAGAATCTGCTTGAACAGGTGCGACTGAATAATAATTTTGTCGAGATTGAGTTCGATAATTGGGCTTTATTAATACAGCTGAGGCTGGTTCATCATTAATTTTGTATTCTTGATTATTGATATTCCTATTTAATAATTCAGAAACTTCGCGATGGAGAATTGTAGATGGAGTAGTGGCCGTTTGTTTTTTTGGATAATTTGGTTTGACTGATAATAATGGTCGAACAGAAGGGTAATTAGCAGAATCTTCAAATTCTTCATTATCGTTTTTTTGTTTTTTTGATAATAATTCCTCTTCATCATCAATATCACTGTTTGGATCACAAGGATTACCAGATACATATGTGAATTCTCTCTTATTACCGTCTGGATCAATGTAACCGTACTTTCCACGAACTACACAATCTGCTCCACGGGTTTCTTCTTTAAATGAACCATCTGCTGCTTCATAACCAAAAGTAAAAGATCCATCATCATTGACTTTGTTATAATTTCGGATTGTTTGGACAGGTTGAATTTTTGAAAGATGTGACAGAACATTTTTGGAATTACTAGTACGAGAAACTGCTCGTAGTTGATGAACACTTGGTCGGTTTGCTAAAGAATACTCAGATATTTCTTTCAAATTTCGATCTTCTTCTTCATGTATTTCAGATATTTGAGAATTACTATCTCCATAGTAACTTTGAGAATCAGTTGCATGAGGTTGAATGCGTAAAACTTGTCGTGCAGATGAAAAAGTTAAGCCGAGAAGTAGCAAAATCTGTAAATATGTATATTCATATATTGAGTTGAATAATGCGATCATAGAAATTCAAATCATAAATGTCATAATTATACAATTTCCATAAATAATTATTCTAAAATTTTCATTTCAAATTGTATTTTAAAAAATCTGTTACATTGTTATTAAAATAAATAAATGCAGAAAATTACAAAATTTCGAACCTTAAATCTATTGTAAATAAAAATCTAGTATACAAATTGAGTAAAAGAATAATAAATATTTTTTTGACAGGCATGTAACCACGAATGATCTTTTATCTTTTTTATTTCACTGTTATATATGTTTATACATATAATGACCTAAATTCAGCTCAAGACGTGAGGAACCTACAATGACCTAGCGTGAGATTCAGTAATTGTAATTCAGCATCAATGTATATAAGTTCGTAATTGTGAGCACTCACTTTCCTTGAACCGTAGCATGAATGTAACGTACAGCCACGCCTTATGTTGAGTCTAGTTGATACACGAATATTCTAGTCGCTATAATTTTTTTTTAATACTTTATTCCAAATTTAAATTTGAAGTATAAAAAACAAAAAAAAACAAATTTCACATTCAAGTTCACGTTATATGCATTATAATATATATAATTGATGTAGCTAAAGATAGTAGTACTTTAATGTACACAAAATATCACTGTATTCCAATTCGAAGGTAATTCCAAACGTGTTTCCTACAGTGAAAGTAGTGAAAGTAAATATTAGATTTTAATAATCAAATCGATAAATTAATCAATATATAAAAAAATCAACAACAGAGATAGTCATAAAAAACATAAATTATTATGTGTTAATATCATAGAAGAAATGATATCATCTACTACATTTTACTTTATTTTCACGTAAACTAAAATATACCTATAATATTACTCGTATTTTCATGGTTTTAAAAACATCTTCTATTCTTAAATATACAATATCATAAAATATAGAATTGTTATCAATATCATTAATAGGAATTTTATTACTTATAATTTCTATAAAGCTACATTACTTTACTCTCTAAAAAGAAACAGTACAAATTACTGCGAAACAGTATATGATCACGGAATAATTTGTTGAGAATAGATTATGAATTTTCTTATTTAATTGTCAAGTAATTTTCTATTTTTAATTTATATGTACAAAAATTTTTTGGAATCAAGACAATGACATAGCCAATAGTTCAAAAGTTCTAATGAAAAAAATTGATAATAAGTATTCAAAAATATTAAATAATTAATATGGCATACCAAAAACGAAGATTCCATGACGCACAAACTTTTCACTTATTCAAAATTATATGAAAAATTTACAAAATAATGTATTAAAAAAAGTACGTAATAATCCGCGTGAATTTCACTGAGAAAGTGAAGTAAGATAATAACTCGAACGATGCTTTATAAACTGTTCACCGTACTTCAGCCGGCAATAAAGGGGAACTCCGTAAGGGAGAGGGAATCTTTTCTTTAGAGAATAGACTTCCTATAGAAAATACGTAAGCAGTACAAGCACAAAACAATCCAAACGCAATGGAATGGAATTTTATAGTAATCGAAAGTTAATATATTATTCAGTACAATACTGACCTTGATTTTAGTGAATGACATCATGACTGTTGTTAGATTAAAACAAATGGGTTTTCTTTAACTTATTGCTATATTCATATTGTTGAGATCAGATTTGACCGTGATAAGACAATTTCATTTAAGATACTTTCATTTATCTATTACTAGCAGATTTATTTAAATTGAAAATATTATTGATCGAACATCCTCTTATGATTCCAACAAAGATTCTAAAATAGAAATGTCAACGAATTTGTTTTATTTCATTCACTTTCGATTGTGTCTCATTAATAATATCAATTTATTAAAAAGAAACTTGACCTTCAGTATAGTGTTCGTTATTTAAAATTAAAAAATAACCAAAGGTCATTTTATTGATTGATGATATTTTTATTTTATGTAACAAATTTGATAACTTCATAGTATGTTTAGACATTTCTATATACTGTATGGAAATAGAAAAATTATTTGAAATAAATGAACAACTACATCAAAAATAAGAAGTATCAATAATAGATAGTAATTTCGTGAATCTTGAAATAAATTCAAGACATTACTCAAAGCGTAAATTTATTCTTCTTAATTAATTTTGGCTTTAAAATTTTAGTATATTGTGAATCTATGTATATACATATAATGTACGTTACAGATATTTATATTGAAGTTTAAAATCATAATAAATAAGTATTGTTTTTTGTTAATGATGAATAATGAATTACTTTAATAAATCATACAATTTTTATTTTCATTTGTATTTAGAAATGTATTATTTTGTGAATATATATATGGAATAAATTTAATTAAATTCACGGAGAAAAAACATCAGATTATACTTATTAGTCAGAATAAATTTATGCTTATGTCGTACATCTAATGAAAAATGAAGACAATATTCGAATAAATTATGTATATTTAATCATGTACATTTTGAGAGTTTCAATAGTATCCAAAACTAATGTCATGTAAAGGTGGTGCAGCATTTTTTGGTAGTGCGTAATCTCGAGCTAGCTGATCTAAAACTCCAACTTTTCCATTGTATTCGTCTGAAGCACCGACAGCTCTTGAAGGAGAAGGTGCAACAATGCCACTTGAACCATGATTCAACGGAGGATTAAATTGAACGGGACCTTGATTGTAGACTTGTGAAGCGGGTGGTCGTTGTTCATAATCAAATTGCTGTGACAATTCTGAATTAGCTGCAGGAGTAAAAACAGAAGATTTTGATAGTTGAGAACGCGATGGTAATTGTGATTGCACTGATGAATCCTTTTGTGGTGAATTCATGGGATCATAATTTTGATTTTGAGAAACTTCGTTAGATCCATATTGTATGCCGTTTGTTGTTTCATCGACTAAAGTAGGAGGTGCAACAGTTATACCTTCTCCAGCTGGTTGAAAACCATGTTGATTTGCCCCATATTCAACCACTCTAACTTTACCAGAATCATCAACGAATCCATATTTACCCCTAACTTCTCCACTTGCGGATTTTGTTTCTATTTTAAATGAACCATCAGCACCTTCAAATCCATATGTATATGATCCATCTTCATTATGACGATTAATTTGTTTTAATATTGCTACTGGAGCATTTGGTTTCTTATTATTTCCATAATTTGAATTTTGATAGTTGTCATCTTTAATTTTTGGAGATTGTTCATACTGCCCGAAAGTACACGATATACTCAATATTAATCCGAATAAAATCTGAAAAATAAAAAAATTTAGATAGAAAATAAGAAATATTTACAAAATGATTTTTACTCTTTTACTATAAAAACAAATGAATTGTAGTTAAAACTTTTTTTTTTGTCTATGCATTTAAGGTAATTATACACTTTCACAATTACCTGGTATTTTGAGCATAAAAAATCGAAAAATAGATGAATTCTTTTCATGTTGGTTTCAAAAAGGTTGATTTTTCGATTTTTTATGCTCAAAAAACCAGATAATCGTGAAAGTGTATAATTACCTTTTTTTAAGTTTGTAACAATATTTCATTATTGTTAACTATAGATTACTCGTTTTTGAGATGCATTGTATTCATAAGTTCATCTTATTCTTTATACGACATATAATAAATTTGTATATATTAATTTATATTTATTCACATTTATATTTACTATAAGTTCAAACATTCGTTTGTTCATTCGTTTCAGATATTTTTACGCTTTGAATTTTCTTATACAGTTTTTTTATACAAAAACAAAACTAATAAAAAATTGTAAGATCAAAAATGGTTAATCTTATTGATATTATCATGAACCTACTATTAACATTTAAAAAAAAATTTTGACTGAATTTTCTTTAGTGAATCTTAAAAAAATTATGCATTAAATCACTAATTTCAACATCAAAATTTAGCCAATCTAGATTCAATTGTTATACACAAATATCAGTCTGGTGATCTGAGTATGACCCGAAAGGTCCACACGACCAATTTTCCAGTTGATTTTGCACAAAACTGGTTGAACCGATTTTTCTGAAAACCCAATCAGTCTTGATTTGCGTGATTATGCGTTGAATGCAATTGGTTTTACGTCATTGTACAACTTTCTAACAATAAATCAGTGAATGTTTACTGTTTTGCAGTCATTTTTACTGTTACATTTTTAGAAAAAATGTAGTCATTGAATATAAGTATTTTATTTCACCCCAATTTTCATTAAGGCCATAAGTGAAACAACCAGAATATTATTAATAATAACTGAATGTCTTTATTAGTCATTAAACATCGAGAGAAAATGCTGAAATTTATTTTAGTAAAATATGGTAATAAGTACATAAATAAAAATTATTGATTTAAATTCGAGCAGTCATTTTTTAAACATTTTTGTAATAAAATGCTACATTGTTTTTGAGCACAAATAACGTCCGTACTGGTTTATTGAGAAACAGCTATATTTTTTTGTACAAGTGTAAGTGAAAAAGACTTGTACAAAGAGAAAAATATACTTTTTTTTCAATTTTTCATATGCAATACTTTCACTTTAACTCATGAAAGTTATAGACATAATTTATCTGAACATAAAAATATGATAATAAGTGTATCAATAGAATAATTTATTATTCGCACAATAATTTATTTCCCGAAAATTACATTAAGTTTATATGAAATTTTTTGTTAAAATAGAAAATATCGGTGAGTTGTATCATTCATAGAGACAATTTTTTTGATTATTTTTGAAGCATATGTTATAGATTTTTTATGTTATTATTGTTAGCTTGAATAAGTAAAACCTACTTAGATTGAGTTGTTACTGAAAGAACTAACATTATAATTAATAAAAATAACTATTCCCAGGGAAAGTATTTCACGTATCTCTGTTAGCCCTTTAATCCAATATATATGTATATTGACGTAGCATCATACATGAGTAGAAATGAAAAGTAAAAACTATCCTAACGGACCTATAAAACTGTGAGCTATAAATGAATAATTTATTATTCGAGCACGTTAATTTAATGATGTGATTTGAACTGTAATCGATGAGGCTATTTTTCTTTAAAATAAAACGAATGAAGAAAAAATATTTTCGCAGAAATTTTTTTGTCAGACCTTTTTTATATCTATCGATTAACCGGCCTTTCGTTTCTGTTTCCCTTATTCTGCATCACCAGTGAAGTTGGATTTTTCTAATACAAATGTCTCGATTATTGAAAGTATGTTATTTTAATCTGCTAAAGCAGGTAAATATGACGTTTTCCATGTGATTAACATTATCTGCAATATTAATTGAATGGATGACGTCGTAACATTTTTCGTTGCATTAAAGTTACACAGTTGAAGGAGGAAGTTCTACATGTTTATATTATTATTACTCTTTTTATACTTACTGTGTACGTGGAAGTATCCATATTAATTTAATGAGATTTTAGTTCTTCTAATTATTGAAAAATTCTGTTTTGTTATTTAGTTATTAAAAATATTCGTTAAAAATTGTATTATTGATATGAGTTTCAGAATGCCAAATCAGTGTATGAATTTCAAACTTAAACTGAGACATTCATATACGGCGACTCTAGTGTAAAACCTCATGCCCCTCCATTATGTTGCTTGTCTTATTTCTAAGTAATGTCTTATAACACAAACTTTCACTATCCACATACTTGTATCTAGAACTGATGGTTGCACGCACATACTCAACGAATCTATATTGGTCTACTTATGTATACAGATTCAAATACAATTATGTTTCCGCATTGACTTATGTAATTTTCGTCCAATCTCAATACAAATACATTTTTATTTGTTCTGATTTTTTTACCTCTACAAATTACCTCTTTTCGAACGTATGTACAAATATATAAACATATATTTTTATAAAATCTGGAGACTATGCGGTAGATTTTCGTTGGTAATTTTTTCTTCATTGTACATAAAATAGATATTATTCCCAAATAGTAAATACTATCTATAGTAATAAAAATTACATCTCAATGTCAGCAAAAAATAAAAAATAAATTTACTATCAAAAAAGTATTTCTTACTGATTTAGAAAATAAAATAAACTGAAATTAAATGTGACTTCTAAATATATTTACCTGTTTTCAGCAGTAGATGTTACTTCTGAAACATATAGCTCAGAAACTAATAACTAGCTGTTCTTGCTTCAGCACGAATATACAAATAATTGAGGTATCTTCGGAATAATTTCATATTTTTTCGACATTCCTTTTCTCTTGATATGTATAAAAAATCTCGAAATCTAATCAAAAACAGCTCCTTTTTTCTAGGCCATTCAAAAATGTGCGTCAAGTATTATTTCGAAGAGATATCGAGAAATATATTGCAATTCATTAGAATATTATTAATGATCATAACTACGCAACGAGCTGATACTCTAAAAATGTTCTGTAAGCTTATCATACTGTTATTATTGACTAAAGAAGCATTAATGTGACATTAAAATAGTATGACATTCCTCATAAAACATTGCATCGTTATGTGGCCAAATTTAAAAAAAAATTAGCCAAAAGTTTTAGATAGTTGCTGAAAGAAGGCAGTTGACATTTATTATGGAGTAGCTGATTTCTGCGACTTCATCCGTGTAATGTGCAAAATTATGTTACATAACAATAGATAAATCAAAGATATTTTAAATAGTAAGTTTAAATGGTGAATAAGTCAATACCAGATACGTATTATTTTGTGATGGTATTAATACAAAAGTAATAAATTTGTAAATATTAATAATCGACTAAAAAACTTCGCATTTCATCTTGAGATTCATTTTCTGCTCCTTTAAGACGATTTATTATTATATATTTATGTCAAATAGTTTGTAACTTCTTTTCAGTAAGGAAAATAATTTCTTATCGGAAGAAAAATCGAATTAATAGCATAAATCGCGTTTTTAATCTTTTTTAACACATTCCATTATTATTAACAAAAAAAGATTGTTTCTATACATGTTAAATGATTAATCACTCTTTTTAAGTAAGCAAAAAAAACTTCCATTGGTAAAACTCCCATTGATAAAAAGATCCCGCTTAGATTTGTTGATATTAACAACAAATTTAATTGTTGCAAACGGAAAAATTTCTGTTCCGAAAGCGGGCTAGCTCTAATTCACCTGAAAATCGTACGCACATACGTACATACATACACGGACGTCCACTGGAAAACGGTCGTAATCGACTTTAGGGACCTGAAAACGTGGAGATATATCAAAATTCGGCATTCGCAAAATCGGACCCATTACTATAACTTCCCATTGGGAAGTTAAAAATTAAATCAGTCGATAGATAATTATTTAATAATTCCAAGAATTCCCCCGCAGTTTTTAGGGACTGTAATTCTACGGTTAAATTCGGTTAAATTCAAGTTAAATCTTAGTTATTTTCTGGTTACAAAATGGTTAAAAACGAGTTAAACAATTAAATCGAAATTCCATCGTTTTTTCCGGTTAAAAGCCGGTTTAAAAGCAGAAAAATAACTCTAGTATTTAACTGAATATTCGCGATTAAACCCCTGCTGGATACGAGAAAAATATTAAGTATATAATGAAATAAGAACGGTTAAATACGAGTTAAAAACCAGTTCACAACTAGTAAAATAATTTTTATACATCCTAACAAATATAACGGTTAAATATTGCTTAAAAACAAGTTGGAATTCAGTTACAAAAGAATAAAAATGAATTTTTTCAGTTAATAATTAACTTTATAATTATTCTCAAGACTATTTTTTATTTATCACAGCAAGTTATTGTTATAAATAATCAAAAAACATCAATAATAGTTGGATTTAAGATTCTTCAGTTGAATTTGTCCAATATCGACTAAATGAGATATCTGATGGTTCTGTACCTACTCTTGCGACAACACACAGAATTATCTCTGTCATCAACTATTACTCCACATTATGTTGGTGATCCCAGTAGTTTACAAAGAATTGATTGTTGTTTAGAATCAATAAAACTTTCCTCTCAACAATCGCGAACGTCAAGATCCGTTACCATGTATAGAAATTGTAAAGCTTCAGAATGGCAAAATTGCTTAGATTACGCATCAGTATGTTCAAACAATGTACTCTCAAGTAGATCTATTCAACATCTTTACGAATTATCTGAAGTAATACATTTCTTCAATTCTGATTTAATACCACACAATATATTCAATAGCGCTGAAACTTTTTTGAAAACATACGTCGATACTTTAAACGATACTTTGGTCACGAGGACATGAGTTTTCATGTACATCTTTTGACCTATTTATAAAAAAACAGTAAAAGATTGGGGTCCTACTTGGTGTCACTCAGCTTCTGTATTTAAAGCCTGCACGGAGAAAATTCTTTTTCGTCATGCCTGCGCGGAAAGTTCACTTTTCCATTGGAGAGGGGTTGAACTTTCCACTCAGGTATGACGAAAAATTATATTCAGCCCTAAGAAGGACAATTAGACAAGCTTAAACCACGTGTTTACCCCCCTCGCCTTCGGCTCGGGTTGTAATTTTACACGTGGTTTGAGCTAGTCTACTTTTCCTCCCTAGGTGTGAAATATACTATTACTGCTCGGTAGTAAATACAATGGAAAGTACACGATTTGACGTTTAGGAGTAAAAATATGTGTATCCAGAAATGAATTCTACTTACAGTAAGTAAAAATTTACTTCTGTATGCACACATTTTATTTTTAAACGTCGAATTGTGCACTTCTCGTTGTTTTTCTTCTGAGCAATGAAAAATTCTCTCCGTGTAAAAGAAAAAAATTATTGAATTTGTTATGAGTTCTCATGGGTGTGAAAATCAAATACTAACACGTTTTCTCATTGAAAATTTTATAATATTCACGAATTATGATCCATCATGTTTATAATTCTTAAAAGACCCCAGATCAACCTTGGTGACTCAAAATTCTTGAGTAGGTGCTATAGAAAATCTCTGCAAGCCCCTTTTCTTCTCGCAAAACCTTTTCCTCTGATCAGAGATCGAGTCACCAGCTAGTGACTCACTGAGATAAGAGTTAACGACTAATGAGAATTTGGGAGATCTAAGTGCCATCCTTCTTCTTCGTTGACAACTAGTAGAGTCTAGATTCTTGTAGTGTTAAGGCTGGGCTGAAGTCAGAAAGTTTCCCGGAGTTGCCTTTACGCCCTCATGTTGTGCGGCAAAAGGCCGAAGCTCGATATCAATTGAAATTGAGTAGGTAACAGGGAAATCGTTCGAAAAATGATAATTTTCAAGGATGCACTACAAAAAGGGAGCCTCAAGGCATCAAGAAATTTACAAATTTTAAAATAATCTGTTCCGAGCAAGACAGAGCACAGAATATATCTATCTATCTCCGTCTTATTTTTCAGAGAAGACTGCGAGTTCGAACAGTTGACGAGCAAGCACATCCTCCACCCTCTGTTACCAAGCCTGAAGCTTATGATATCTAAACGTAAACAAAGCAAATGAAAATATGTTGGCTCTGTAGTCAGAAGATTCGACATTTATTTTACCGAACGGTGTTCGATTCCAATTGCGGAAAATAATTCAAATTGCATGTAATTGCAATTTTATCATGCCAAAAATGAGTTTTAAATTTCAATTTTTATGTAAAATTATTTTTCAATTAATTGACGACAAATGAGACAATATTTGAACAGGGCCATTAACCTTTTTTTATACAAATACATTGATAATAGCCTTTTTTAACAACTTATTAACAATAAAAAATAGTTTAAACAATCCGCGGCGAGTTCCGACACTTCGCCGGCAAGCTCTACCCCCACTTTCTGTGCCCAAGCCTGCAGCTTATAATTTTCAAGCATCTTTAATGTTATTGGAACCATAATAGCTCAGTGGTTAGAGCACCAATCGTTTATTTTGCTGGGCAGGGTTCGATCCCAGTCATAGGCAATTGTTTTTTCTTTTTTTGCTTAAGTGACTTTAAATACTCATAAATTAATTCATATATTTGATTAAATTATTCTTCCAATTAATTACGGAAAACAACTTGTTTTTCTGAAAATAAGCTGAGGGTGAGGAACGAGTTACTATGAATTCTCTTTTTCGAAAGTGTTGTCTTTAAAAGACAATAGGAATTGATTTTGAACTTATATAAACAACCAATTATTGTATTTATATAAAATTTAAACGAAAAAAAAAGGGAAAAAAAAATTGACTGGGATCGAACCCTAATCGGTAAAATGAAAGCTTGGTGTTCTACTCACAGAGCTAACACATCATCTCTGACACTACGTTTATGTTTATAAATTGTATAATGCAGGCTTGGGTACGAAGGGTAGGGATAGAGTTTGCTGGCGAAGTGCCGGAAATCCCCATGGATTATTTCAACTACTTCTAAATATTTCTAAATTGCTTAAAAGAAAGCTACGTTCATATAGCTATAGTAAAAAAAGTGTTTATAACCCTGTTCATATGTTTTCCGACTCGGCATCGATAAATTACATAAATAATTGAGAAAAAAAAATCAAATCGTTGTAAACAATTACTTTTGGCATGTTAATATTATAATTACATGCAAATCTAACAAATAAAAGAGAAAAAAAAAACTTTATC